GCACCCTGACACCTCCGTTCCACCCATCCCTTCCAGGAGCTCCAAAAAGTCTACCCTACTTCAAGGAGACACCAAAGGCACCGGAGGAAGCTCACCCAGCTCTCCTTCCTTCCCATCTGTTTGAATGAAACACCTTATTTCTTCACTAAGGTCCTCTTCTGTCCCTTTAATCACTCCCTCTCAAACAATGCACACAGCTAATCCCTGTCTAAAACAGACCAGTGGAGCTCCAAATACTTATTGAGTGATCACTACTAGGATGTTCCGGGGATTGTTGGGTAAGAGATGAATGGGTACATGATGTTATGTGAAAGGGAAAATGAGGGCGACCTGGGATGGGCTCCAAGGTGAAGGAAGTGAAAAAGAGTGTACCCATATATATGGTGGAACATTATGCAAAGCATTAAAAAGAATGTAGGACCTGTAACTATTGTCCTGGTATTGTTAGGTGAGAAAATTGGTGGCAGAGTGAAGGGTACTATACGATCCCATTTCCGTAATTAAAATACCCCACCCATCCAGCCACCCAAAAAGAAAATAAAAATCAGTATATGAATATGAAGAACAGTACAGGTGGAAGGAAAACAAGTCGTATAAAAGAAAGGTTGTAGCTTTTTCGCAATGCGTTTGCCACCAGAACACAGATGTGGTGAAAACCATCACTAAATCAAAGCCAAAATGGGAAAGGAAAAGACTCATTTCAACTTCGTCATGAGTGAACAGGTAGATTCTGGTAAGTCTACCACTACTGGCCATCTGATCTACAAATGTGGGGGCAACGACAAAAAAACTATCAAAAATTTTGAGAAGGAGGTTGTTGAGCTAGAAAAGGGCTCCTTCAAGTATGCCCGGGTCTTGGATAAACTGAAAACTGAACATGAGGGTGGTATCACCATTGCTATCTCCCTGTGGAAATTTGAGACCAGCCACTATTATGTGACCATCATTGATGCCCCAGGACACAGAGACTTCATCAAAAACATGATTATCAGCACATCTCAGGCTGCCTGTGCTGTCCTGATTGTTGCTATTGGTGTTGGTGAATTTGAAGCAGGTATCTCCAAGAATGGGCAGACCGGTGAGCATGCCCTTCTGGCTTACACGCTGGGTACGAAACAACTGATTGTTGCTGTTAGCAAAATGGATTCCACTGAGCTGCCCTACAGCCTGAAAGATATGAGGAAATTGTTAAAGAAGTCAGCATCTACATTAAGAAAATTGGCTACCACCCTGACACAGTAGCATTTGTGCCAATTTCTAGTTGGAATGTTGACAACATGCTGGAGCCAAGTGCTAATTTGCCCTGGTTGAAGGGATGAAAAATCACCCGTAAACATGGCAATGCCAGTGGAACCACAATGCTTGAAGCTGTGGATTGCATCCTACCACCAGCTCATCCAACTGACAAGCCCCTGTGTATGCCCCTCTAGGATGTCTATAAAATTAGTGGCATTGGTACTGTCCCTGTGGGCCTATTGGAGAATGGTGTTCTTAAATCCAGCATAGTGGTCATCTTTGCTCCAGTCAACGTTACACTGAAATAAAGTCTGTTGAAATGCACCATGAAACTTTTAGTGACGCTCTTTTGGGGGACAATGTGGGCTTCAATGTCAAGAACGTGTCTATCAAAGAACTTGGTTGTGGCACTCACCATTGGAAGCCGCTGGCTGCTCAGTTCAGGTGATTATCCTGGACCATCCAGGCCAGATTAGTGCTGGATATGCACCTGTGCTGGATTGTCACAGCTCACATTGCTTGCAGTTTGCTGAGCTGAAGGAGATCAACTGTCATTCTGGAAAAGAGGTGGAGTATGGCCCAACATTTTTTAAATTTGGTGATGCTGCCATCATCAATATGGTTCCTAGCAAGCCCAGAGGGCTTCTCTGACTATCTTTCTCTGGGCCGTTTTGCTGTGGGTGTCATCAAAGCAGCGGATGAGAAGGCAGCTGGAGGTGGCAAAGACAGCAAGTCTCCCCAGAAAGCTCAGAAGGCTAAATGAGTATTATCCCTAATATCTGCCACCCCAGGCTTAGTGGTGGAAGAGCGGTCTCAGAACTGTTTATCTCAATTGGCCATTTAAGTGTAATAGTAAAAGACTGGTTAATGATTATAATGCATCATAAAACCTTCAGAAGGAAAGGAGAATGTTTTGTGGACCATTTGGGGTGTGTATGGGGGGGCAGTTTTAAAGTTATTAGTTTTTTAAATTAGTACTTTTTAATGGAAACAACTTGAGTAAAAATCTGTTGCAGATTTTTTTTTTTTTTTGAGAGAGAGAGAGAGCATCAATGTGAGAGCGAAACACCTGATTGGCTGCCTCCTTTTGCTTGTCCCCTACTGGGGATGGAACCCACAATTGGGGTATGTGCCTTGCCCAGGAATCCAACAGGCCAATTTTCTGTGCACAGGATGATGCTCAACCAACTGAGCCAGCACACGGGCCAGGTCTGTCACAGAATTTTGAGACCCATTAAAACAATGAGAAACGTGTGTGTGTGTGTGTGTGTGTGTGTGTGTGTGTGTGTATTTAATTTATTGATTTGAGAGTGAGAGAGGAAGGGAGGGAGAAAAACATTGATTTGTTGTTCCACTTATTTATGCATTCATTGGTTGATCAAACCCACAATGTTGAAACTGGGTGGTTGTTTTTTTTTTTTTTTTTGGTCAACACTGTAACTTTCTATATACTACTTAAGTAAAAGACTTAAGAGTTGCCCATAATCTATTTCTGATGTTATATCTGCTGATACTTTAGAATTGGATAATTCTGTTAATGTTTTTTTTCTGTTAATGTTTTTTCTGGGTGGGAACTTTGCTTCTTTTCCACTTTGTCTTAAGGGGCGGAATCTGGTTACATAGCAAAAGCTATAGAAGGGGTTCTGTTGGTGCAACACTAAATAAGGTTAGGACAAATAAGCAAAGAGTAACTAGTTTATAAAGGTCAAATTCTGTTATATTAAAGTCCACAGGTTGCATATAAAATGTTGTAGTTACATCAATATTGAATAAATTTGTTGGTATGTCAAATTTTAGTTAATTGTGAATTCATATTTACAAATACTGAGATAGTTTAAAGAACCTAAAATGAGGTTTAAATAGTATTGAGCATTGTCTTGCTACAGTTAATTGTATCCAGATTCTAAGGAAAATCAATTATACTGGAAAAAAAAGAAAGAAAAGTTGAACTTGGAGAAAGGAAGTAGAAAATTCAGTGCAAAAAACATTCATTTACTGGATAAATATTTATTGAGCTCCTTCTAAGTGGCAGGAAATATTCTAGGTGAATGAGAAAAATCAATGAATAAAACCGATTTAAAAAAATATTTATTTTAATGAAGCTGACATTCTAGTGAAGGGAGACAGATGATAATTAGAGTATATAAGTAAATTATGTAATATATATAGAATGGGGTATGAGGAATGGGAATGGGTTGCAATTTTAAATATGATGGTCAGGGTAGTAGGCCTTATTAAGTCAGATGCCATTTGAACAAAGCTTAGATCAAGTGAGGGGAGTGGACCAGGCAAATATCTCGGGAAAGAACTTTCCAGGCAAGAAGAACATCTGGTGTGTTTAAGGAAAAACAAGGAGGCCAGTGGAGCAGAGTAAGGAAGAGAAAGTGTAAGTGTTAATGGATCAAGATGCAAGTCATACAAGAAAGAAACACTTCTACTTAAGAACATGAACATACAAAGATGAAGTCCTCTTTTGCACTACATCTAGAATTACAAAGAAAGAACTAAACTATGTGTGTCTTTTACTTTCCTATTTTCAAATTACATTATGCCCACAACATCTCAATGCATTAAGCCTACTAGGCCCTCAATTTCTGTTGGTTGATTAGAATTAGCCATGTAAATCACCTTAACAAGTATCATATTTGGAAAATTTCATTTCTGCTACTGAAACCTTGGAAAAGAATTTACTGAAAGGACACAGTGAAGAAATAGTGTAAAAGACTTGCAAAGTAAGAGAAGTGGGAGGTGGATCAAAGGCTGTTGTATTCTGCACTCTTGGCCTTTTAAAGTAATACTGCTACTGAAATTCAAAAAGATTTTTTATACGTATTTATTTATTTATTTTTATTGTTTAAAGTATTACATATGTCTCCTTTTTAAAAAGATTTTTTTTAATCATGGGGAAAAATGTTACCTCATATCTGACGGGTAATAATAAGGTAATATAACAAACATTTATTCAAGAGTGTTGCTTAAAAAAGCAGTCTCCCTAAAGTAATACTCTACTGAAATTCAAAAAGATTTTTTATACGTATTTATTTATTTATTTTTATTGTTTAAAGTATTACATATGTCTCCTTTTTAAAAAGATTTTTTTTAATCATGGGGAAAAATGTTACCTCATATCTGACGGGTAATAATAAGGTAATATAACAAACATTTATTCAAGAGTGTTGCTTAAAAAAGCAGTCTCCCTAGGAAGCAAAACACTAAGATTCTCTCCTTCGGCAAACTCTAGCCCAGCTTCTCTCTGAGTCCTCCTCTTGACTAGGCCTCAACTTTGGCCTATAAAGATGAAAAAAACACTGACAGTTTCTAACAGCTCAAAGCGGCCTCCTTGGGATAACCTTAGCAACCCTTAAAGTGCCTGTCTGAGAAAACTCAAGGTTCCCCAAATTATTGACTTTTTGTCCCACCCGACACATGAAGATAGAGCCCTGTGTCACAATCCCCAACACCCCCACCCCCATCCCTTCGTGATTTTTGTGATCTTTCACTTCCCTGACTTTACTGGCCCCTGCTCATCCCCCGCCCAATTTCTTCATTCTCCCTTTAAAGGACCCAGTCGCTTCTGTGCAAATCAAAGTTCAGTTCACACTGTACATACTCTTTTCCCCATTGTAATAGTATATTATGATTAACATTTAAATTTTAGTGTCTGGCTTTGTTTATCTTTGACAACACTCAAATCTATAATTCTGTCTCTGCTCCGTGTCTTTTTTCTTCTTTGAAACTGTCTTGAAGAAATTCATTTTTATAGCGTCTTACTTCTTCACATCTCATTTCTTTCGTATTCTAAATAGTCTACATATTAATTCTGTCTTAGACAAGACAGGAAATTCAAAAGTGATATAAGAAAATGTAAACATATTTGACTACATAAAAAACATTTAAGATGGCTAAAGAGAGAATTTTAATTATACAGAAATAGAATAATCAGTTATAAAAATATACATACCAGCCTTAACTGGTTTGGCTCCGTGCAGAGAGCATCAGCCTGTGGATTGAAGGGTCCTAGGTTCGATTCTGGTCAGGGGCACATGCCCGGGTTGTGGACTCGATCCCCTGGGGGGGTATGCAGAAGGCAGCAGATCAGTGATTCTCTCTCATCACTGATGTTTCTATCTCTCTCTCCTTCTCCCCTCCTTTCTGAAATCAATAAATATATATATATATATATATGTACCAGAATGATTATTGCAACATTGTTTGTAGTATGAAAAAAAGGAATAACCTGAATGTTCATCAGTACTATTTATGATTATTTACACAATTTAGC